AATATAAATATAGCTGTGAGCAGCGATAAAGGGCCAAAGCCGGCGGTACCACCATCCCGGTGCCTTTGGGTAACTAAAGGCACCGGGGTTGCGGTGCCACCGGCTTGGGCCCGCAATCGCTGCTCGCAGCTATATTTAGAATTGCATTTCTCAAAATCTTCCTAAAATTTGAGAACACCCTCCTGAGAGACTGTAGGCTGCAAGCCTCAAACAAGCAGATGGATATTTGTCTCTTTATGTTTCATCTAGCTTTGATAAAGTTGATGAGCTTTCTAATCAGTCTTTAAACTCTGCTGTCTGTCATTCTCATCCATTCTCAGAGGGTTTCTATTCAAATATTTGTCTTCCTAAGCAAAGAGACTGTTACACAGACTAGGTAGAAAAAGTATTCATGAAAATCAAGACAATTCAAATAATAAATGGTACAATGCGATTAAAAGAACAATACATAGTGTGTGTGTGTGTGTGTGTTTAGAAGAACCCCTTTTAGACATACAGTAACTGGTGTGTACTTAGCAAACGCATATAGGTGTTTCGCTGTAGTCGCTCATTAGCTTCGAAAATGCCTTTTGAATATGGTTTCTTTGAAGAGTTTCTTTTTTTGCTGCCTCTGCTCTCTTAGAGCTCCAATAAATGAGCAAGAAAAACAGTAACAATTAAAGACCGATTAAGCCTTTCACCCACTCCTCCAGCTAATTGGTGACACCGCAATTCGGTTTAGCCCAATTACACACAGTCTTTTTCTCTCTGTATTGATTAACGTTCATCCACCTCTCTTTTTTTTTTCCTCCTGGCTTCCGTCAGGACAGAAGTTATCCACGGCCTGAAGCGCGTGCTCATATCGCCGTTGATGTTATTAACGTCCTGAATGCCTGCGCTTCACTGGCTGGTGACTGGAGGCAATTCATTTGACTTGTGTAACTGACTAAAGCTCATTCTCTCCCACTTCTAATTTGCGTGTAATGGGGCTTTTGTCCTCTGTACCTGAGTGAATACAAGATTATGCATTATTGTGACTCATAAGCATAAACTGGGCCGGGGTGGGATGACAGATAGATGTAGGAAGTGACTGATGGTGTGCATGTTTATATCCTCAGCTCAGGTTGTCTGTATTGATTGTAACCCTTGTAGTCCGTTTGCTCTCTCGGGCAGCTTTGGTAGATTGCCTCACCTCTTTCATGCTTCAGACTCTTGTTGCTTCCTGCAGAGATTACAAGCTGATTGGACTCTACAAAACTTGACTACACATATACACAATGCATTTTTTTAAATTTGTTTCCTTTGCCATGTATTTATTTTAATATATTATAATTTTTTTTAAATTATATTTCATTATGTATAATACACTCATCGACCACTTTATTAGAGACACCTGTTTAAATCCACGTTAATGCAAATTTCTAATCTGCCGGTCTTATGGCAGTGCATTTTTAAGCATGTAGACATGGTCAAGATGATCTGCTGAAGTTCAAACTGAGCATCAGAATGGGAGAGAAAGGTGATTTAAATGACTTTGAACGTGGCATGTTTGTTGGTGCAAAATGGGCTGGTGGAAGTAGCCTACTTCAGAAACTGCTCATCTACTGGGATTTTGGCGCACAACCATCTTTGGGGTTGTTGATGTCAGAAGAGAATGGCTTGATTGGTACGAGCTGATTGAAAGGCAACAGTCACTCAAATAACCACTTGTTACAACTGAAGGCTCCAGAAGATCATCTCTTAACACTCAAGGTTCATTGAACCTTGAAGCAGATGAGTTGCAGCAGTCGGAGACCCCACCGGGTGCTACAGCTAAGAACAGGAAACTGAGGCTACAATTCACATGGGATCACCCAAATTTGACATTAGAAGGTAGAAGCCTGGTGTCTCGGTTTCTTCTGTCACATTGAGTCCTAACAAAGGAAAAAAACAACAGTTTTTTTTTTCAGTTGGCCATTTATACTTTATAAACCTAAAAGGTTCATAATAGTAGGCCTACCTTAAAGGGATACTCCACTTTTTTTTGGAAATAGGCTCATTTTACCACTCCCCCAGAGTTGAACAGTTGAGTTGTACCATTTTTAAATCCATTCAGCCGATTTTCTAATATTTAGAAGAATATGAGTAACCAGACAGTTTCTGGTCTCATTGACTTCCATAGTAGGAAAAAAATATACTATGGAAGTCAATGAGACCAGAAACTGTCTGGTTACTGATATTCTTCTAAATATCAAAAAATCGTCTCAATACATTCGAAAACGGTAAAACCCAACTGTTTAACTCTGGGGGAGTTGTAAAATGAGCCTATTTCCAAAAAAGTGGAGTATCCCTTTAAGGTATATATTGTAATATGTACCTTTTTAGGGGTAGATGAGTTGCTAAGTTGTCATTGATGTGCTGGCATGCTTTAAAGGTACAGCACATTTTGCATTTGTTTTTTTTTTCCTGACGAGATGTAATCACTTTCATTTCCTGATGACATGTCCGCTTGAATGTCCTGCCTGGTTTTTATTTAAAATGGTGTCTAACGCCAATCAGGACTTTCTTCATTCCACTTAAAAGAATGTGCTTTTATAACTTTCTCATTGAAAGTGCTCTGGTAGAATTGGGCCGCATTCTCCATCTATTAGAACTATTATCCAGCTCGTTAGGAATTAATCGCCCTCATCATTAATAGATTTAATAAGGGACCTCTGACTTGTGCTGATTGGGTTTTGAAATATGGTAGATGAAATGGTTGAAAAGGCAGTTTCAGGCTCTTGCATTACCTCAACTACACTATGATTAGTCCAAAGCTAATTTTAGCGTTGGAACAGCTTCAGATGTAATGAGCTAGTCCCCTTAATTTATGGTGCTTAAGCAAAGAGACTAGGAGAACAATATTAGAGCCCAAGACGTCCCAAAGATGTGCACTTGCCTTAGGATTTAAACCCTTCCCGTGGTGCAAATTCATCGTATAATACCCCATATACTTATATTATACATTCCATATTTTTGCAGAGCCTCACAAAGCCTCAGATTGTCTAATTTGAGAATGAACATTCTTCCTCTAGGCAGTGTCTCTATGGAGTTGATGGTATGTATTTGTAATCATGCTGGCTGAATGGAGGCTCTGTTTGAATATGAATGATGGCTAGATGACATTGTCCCCAGTTGCCCCCTGTTCCTCTGATGTTCATGTCAGTATTTTGACCCTTTGTTAAGCTCCACACCCCTTTGATTACCATATGCACTCACCTAAAGGATTATTAGGAACACCATACTAATACTGTGTTTGACCCTCTTTCGCCTTAATTCTACATGTCAATGATTCAACAAGGTGCTGAAAGCATTCTTTTGAAATGTTGGCCCATATTGATAGGATAGCATCTTGCAGTTGTTGGAGATTTGTGGGATGCACATCCAGGGCCCGAAGCTCCCGTTCCACCACATCCTAAAGATGGTGTATTGGGTTGAGATCTGGTGACTGTGGGGGCCATTTTAGTAGAGTGAACTCATTGTCATGAGCTCTTGCTAATTGTAGCCTCTTTTCCCTATTTGTAGTGGAGATGAGTGGTACCCTGTGGGGTCTTCTGCTGTTGTAGCCCATCCGCCTCAAGGTTGTGCGTGTTGTGGCTTCACAAATGCTTTGCTGCATTCCTCGGTTGTAACTAGTGGTTATTTCAGTCAAAGTTTCTCTTGTATCAGCTTGAATCAGTCGGCCCATTCTCCTCTGACCTCTAGCATCAACAAGGAATTTTCGCCCACAGGATTTCCGCATACTGGATGTTTTTCCTTTTTGACACCATTCTTTGTAAACCCTAGAAATTGTTGTGCATGAAAATCCCAGTAACTGAGCAGATTGTGAAATACTCAGACCGGCCCATCTGGCACCAACAACCATACTCAAAATTGCTTAAATCAGCTTTCTTTCCCATTCTGACATTCAGTTTGGAGTTCTGGAGATTGTCTTGACCAGGACCACACCCCTAAATGCATTGAAGCAACTGCCATGTGATTGGTTGATTAGATAATTGCATTAATGAGAAATAACATTTGTACAATGCACTCCAATACTCGCAATGAGTTTGCTAGTGTCTTTGAAGTTGTCAACATTTACAGGGGTCATGACATGAGAAATCACATTTACCTTGAAAAAATGAGAATATACACCAATATTGATATTGTATTGACATGCTTTTGCAGGTGATTTTTTTTTTTTTGTTTTTTTTTTTGTTTTGTTTTTGCATTATGGACAATTATAACTATCCGAAAAATTAGGTTTGCTCACAGCTCCACAGAAATATTACAGGACATAAAAACAATTTTGTTACAAAGTCAAGCACTTGTAGGTTTTAGGTCTGATGGTCTTAATTTCTTTATACTATATATATATATATATATATATATATATATATATATATATAGTTACTCAATCCTCCCACATTGCAGGCACACATTCTGACATTTGTTCACCGGTACTTTATCTTACTTCAGCAGCAGGTGCTGGCCGTGAACCGAGGATAAAAACAACAGCAACCAAATAGATTGTGTATTGTATGACCACCGAATGTTTTTCCTTTTACTTTAGTTCCATGCATGTATCCCCTTCTGCCAATTGTAAGTAAAACACAAAGAGGGATTTCTGCTTTTAGATGTTCTTTCACACCAACCATTTATTCTCAAGGTCGACTTTCTACAACGTCACACATCATCTAAATTGCTGAAAATAGCCAATGAGCAGTCTGTGTATGTGTGCGAGAGGAAATCAGACCTGTTGCAGTGCAGATGTGCTTGTTTTTCACTGCACTGGACGGTATTGCGTAAATGATTGACGTAACGGTCTGTTCCATACGGCATTGATTCTTTCATGCTGGATGAACTTGTTTATCATTGATTGTGTGATTGAAATACAAATATGTAACATCTGTCCTCAGTCCAGCCTAGAAGGTTAGTGGAATGTTATCCACAAAAGCAATTACGAACTCATGAATCTTATTTGATTGACTGATCTATTGATTTTCCATGTGTCTTGTCTCCAGCTGTTTCCTGTCCCTGCTGCTGGTTGCTGCTGTGGTTTGGAAAGTCAAACAGACGTGCTGGGCATCACGCAGGAGAGAGGTAACATCTGAACATTAGCACTTCCTGTGCTCATTGACATGTCCATTCTTGTATTGGCTATTGCCTGCGGTTTCTTTATGTTGCCCATGATTTCAGGTTTAGAGCTGAAGTGTTAAATACTATGGCTCAACCAATAGCAGGAGTTTGGGCCGGGTCTTTTCAGTTTGCATTTTGTGCAACCAATGAAAGGCAATTTAGCTTCAATGTGTTTGAATGGCCATATGCATATGCATTTGCAGGTTTGTATTCGCAAGGATGTTATTGCTTTTACCATCTGTGACCTCTCATGATGCTCCTGGGTATGGTTGATCTTTCTAAACCGTCTTATGACTTTAACCTCATTATAGTTTATGAAACTCACTGTCATGTGGAGTTACTGTGCCCAGATGGGAGGACACAGGGTAAAATTGCTCATTTTATAACGGATTCCTCCCAGTGTCTGATGGGTGTGTAAATGTCACTCGCATGCCAGCCGAACTGCTGCCTTTTAATGAGAGAGGCACAACAATAAACACCACCATTTTCCTTCATTACCCATCTTCACAAACCAATTAACCCTCGTGGGGCTCATGTAAAAGGGATGGATTAGTGTGATTTATTCGTCTAAAAGCCACATGCCACCTTTTCTCACTTTATTTCTTAGTTTGTGTGTCATTTTAGAGGCTACGTAAATGCAAATGGGAACTTGCAAACGAGTTGTCATCGAGCCTTTCATAATCAATACAGTAATCGAGGCCACTGTAATTGAAAGCATGTCGAGAGGCGTAAGTGTGGGTTTATCAGAGTTAAATGTATGCTGTTTTCTGCGATGGCTGTCATAGTTGTTGTTTTTTCTTTTCGTCAAATATCTTCTTGTAGGTCGAGCATTTATATAACAGAGTTTAAACCAAATAAAAAGAGCTTCACACTTCATTCAGTGCCCAAAAAGCCATTTTGATCTGAGAAATTAGAAACACAATGTGATTTGATAAGAAAGCTACAGTATGTTAAATAATGAATCAATTTAGAGTGCTGCGTACTTCATTGTAGGGTTTGGCATGAGAACCCGAGTGATAGCCCTGATCATGAAAACATACTTCATTTTCAAAACTCTTTACACCAGTTGAAATTCAGTAACTGCTATACAGTATATGTCAAAAAGACCTCATTTTCATTTTTCCTCGGTGGCTCCCTGCAAGTCAATTCTTCAGACAGCAATTTGTGTCAACACTGTTCATGGTGGTTTCAGTTCAGGTCAGCACAAAATGGTCTGAGCTGTATAACAGGACGTTCACACAGGGCACGTTCTTGCTTTCAGAGAGCTAGATGGAGCACAACTGAATAAAACAGAATGCATGGGTTTTGTTTTTTGAGAATCACTTTTTAAAAGTGCTCCCTTCAACTTGACAGCACTTTAAAAATGCAGCATTTGTGGTGTAAGGCACTGAATAAAAACTGCAAGATTCGATGCAATGGCCAAAATGTGACCACCTGACACTGATTTATCTGTAGCTGTGTTGTCCACAATTGTTTTTTTTGTTTCAATTGTTTCAAAGTTGTTGTTTTTTTCAATCCACAAAAAAAAAAAAAAAAAAAACCCAGCCGAAACTTGTACCAACTTTTAATTGAAATACTTTTAATTGTAATTCAGTAAATTCCACTTCACGTAATTCAAATTCCTCTGGGAAAAGTAGAAAGTAGGAGTAAGTAGGAATGGGGATTTGGCTACTCAATTGCACAACAACTGCAATTCTTACAGTGGAAGCTCTACATGTTTGTTTGTGTGTGTTGTGTGCATTGTGTATTTTGGATCTTAGTTAGCTGATATGTCTTCATTATTTATGAGGTCTGTCACATATCGGCCAAGCCCTGCTGTTGCTGCTGTAGCCGGACCTCTTTCTGCTGCATACATCCACAGTCATTTTTCACATTCTGCCCAACACAACAGAGCTCAGGTGTCAGGCAGCGATGATGTCAGAATCTGTCCCACACCGCTCCAGTCATATCCATAAACAGCCAAGTGCTTTTGGCCGGCTGTAGCATCTGATAAAGATCTTGTAGTGCAGACTTTATCTCTGCTGTGCTTTGTGTTTATGTGGAGGCTGATACGTTGTGATCTCACAAGTTTTATGGAGAGCCGCATCACTCCACTCCCTACTGCTGCTTAATTGTGTTGCCTCATTGTCAAGCCTCATTGCTGACAGCGGCTATCTAGTGAGCTATCGGCTATATTTGCCGCGCTGGATACTTCAAGCCCGCCATTGCTGCCCCTTCATCACTCCCTCTCTCTGAAGCCATCAAGTGGGAAATTAACAATGCAAATCAATGGAGCTGGATGGTGTATTTTTTATGATCCTCTCTCTCTCTGATGTATTTAGAGCATGAATGATTATTTCGGAGATAGATTACGGACGGACGGCGCCGTGAGCACTCAGGGAATCAGTCAATATCCTCAAATGGGCTTAATTCATTATTTCGTTCCTCCGTTCTAAAGTGCAAAACATTGAGGGGGGAGGGTGGGATTTTCATTTCATTCCACCAAATGTAATATAATTTCTTTGCAGCTGCGATCATGGGGATATATCGGTCTCAGTCTGTCGGCACAAGGATGGAAGTAATATATAGAGTAGCTGTGCTATTTTTTATTTATTTATTTAATTTTTTTGCATTGGCAAAATCCATAAAATTCCCAATGGGAGAAATTCCATGCTGATTCCTCTTCCGAAAAAGGAAGAAATAATGTAATCTCTCCAGTATAGTTAATTATGAATCATATCCGAGAGTGTGGAAAACAAATTTAGAACTGGGTTTATGATAATTACTCTCCCAACAATAATTTCTGGATATGAGATCAAACAATCAAAACCACTTTGAAATTCTAATGATGATGCACAAGACGTCTTGTACAGATGTCTATGAATCTCCTAATAGGGTCTCCCCCCAACAGACAGGGATTTAGCACTATTTTGACAACTAACCTCATTAAGTTTTGCTGTTGTCTTGCCATAAATGTATAAATAAACAAAAAAGACCCTGCGTATTTAATTTTCAGTTGTTTTTTTTTGGCTCTATAATTCATGCATTGGTTAATACAAGCTTTCACTGGCCTAGACAAACAAGGTGAAACTGAACACCAAGTGGCGTAATTGTTAAATATACTTAGCCTGGTCATATTAAACATGCACTGTATTTTCTAGACGAATCTTAGGCGCCACAGCACCACCACCAAATGAGGATTATTCCCAACGGCCGCCTTGTCGCCTGTTCAGTTGTAAACACACTGGGTCCCCCATCAGCCAGATGTTGGCTAATTTTATCATTTGACAGTGGCTCATTCCACACTGATCGGCCAAACCCCTGTACGCCAGCACAGACTACAATGAATTAATGCTAATTTTATGAAATATCAGGTTGTTTTGAGGCTTGAAGTGGGTGTGTTTTTTTGACCTTTCTGCCACAGTATGGTAATTAGTTTAATTTCCTATTACAGGAATTAATTATTTTGAACAAGATAGTCCTATTTTCTTCAGACATGGATTAGCATATGTTTAGAGGGTTTAATTATTTAAATGGTTTTAATTGTTAAATATTTAGAAGTTGTGATAAAATTATTATTTTTTTTATTATTATTATTTTGTTTTTTCGGTCAGAATAGCAAACAATGAGGTGATCTTTGACCCTGTTTATCTGGCCTGTTACACTCTAAATGTCATTTCATATCACATGCATTCCCTTATAGCATAACGGCATGACATTGGATTTCATTTTTATTCAGTTATAGTTCAGTTTTGTGACGAATTTCTTGTAAAATGCTAATTTCTCCGCAATGATTTTATCCTAAAAAGGCATAAGCCATCTCAAATATTAACCTTGTAATATCTCTATCAAACATCCCTAGGAAAGCACAGATTGAGTGCCACTGTACACATTTGCGAAACCTTTGTACTCAAGGTTATATAAGGTCTTAAAAGATGGTCATCTCTTGCCGCTGAAATAAGGATGTTTTAAGTGTCCGTATTGCTACATATAGAGGTGGCTGCTCTTTACAGTGTTGGCTATAGCAGTGCCATGCTATCAGCTCCGAGCAGGTGAGCGTCTTTATCATCTAAGGCTAGATTAGCCCGAAGGTCTTGTCTGCTTTTCAGAGGCTTCTTAAACACCAACATCAATCTTCAAAGCAGCGAAATCAGTCTCACCCTCCAGGGACAAGACAAGGACTCTCCTGAGAATGCCTCAAAATGTTGTCCGAGATCTTAAAGCACAGGTGTGGGTGCCTGAGTGGAATTTCATGTGGCTTTTTTGGGGGGTTGATACTATGGCTTTTACTGTTGTGATAGAGTATTGTTGTGATAGATAAGATAGATCCAACTTAAAATCAATAATTATGTATCTGTGATTTTCGGATTTTTTAAAATGTGTAAATCTATAATATAATATAATATAATAATTATAATTCAGCATATGCTTTTCAAGACACATTCAGGTCCATTTTGTCAGGTGCTTTTTCTTACTTCTTATGCACTCATGATTTTGTCGCACTTCCCTTTAGGCAAAATGGGCACATCCTATTTGGCAAATATCAACTTATGTCTTCTATTCTCAGCCTCCTTAACCTGACGGAGGAGATTTGCAGATGACACAGGAGAGGGAAACAGGGCTGTCTGCTCAATTACACGTTTGCTTAGTGAGCAGTATCAACGTTAGCCTGCTTTCAGTCAGCATAGAGTACGGCGGATTCAAGTCCTCGATAAAAAATTTAAATGTTGCATTTTTCCCCATTCGTAATTTTTAGCATCATCATGAACTGGCTGTGGTTTAGAAACAATCTATAATAGATAAAAGGCTTCATACAAAACATAGCAGTCAGAATCACAGTAGGACAGATGGATGCACCTCTCAAAACTCTGACTCAAAACAATTTCAAAGGTTTTACCAATCATTGTTTCCTTTTTTTGCTTAATCAAATTTACCATCCACAATAATTACTGGTAAGAACATATACCCTACCAATTAAAAGTTTC